TATATTGTTAATGGTATTAACATTACCAGTTATATGTATGTAGTTAGTAATACCTATTTCCTATTGAAGTGGTAAATGTGTTCTACACACAAATATGTACTAATACACTATTGGACTATATTTAAATTACCAATGTACCACAGTCACAACAAGCGAAACGTCACACAAGAAAAGATTTGTGAACGTAACAATAAATGAATTTCAAATCTACTAGTGAATTTGGATATTCGGTATTATCTTTCACCCTCTACGCTTACCTGCTCCGAAACCGCGAAGTCCTCCACAATCTAGGCGCGAGGTTCCTTTGCCTACACCATCCTTACAAAACACACACCACTGGAGGCGAGTCTTCCATGTCATATTTGGTATACTCGATAATGAAATAATAAGTGTATACTATTCATATAATGCCTTGTAAATGTTTAAATGACCACGTTACTATACAGTTAACAGTTTCCTCAAAATGGTGACTCACAGAGTCGGAGGCTGATTTTGTATTACATACTATCAAAGTCTAATTCCTTTACGAGTACAAAGTTATATAGTGTGGGGGTCATCATGGGGTCTCGGGTCGAGACACAGAGCAGACAACCACCAGAACGGTCCTCGGGGGATCACCTAGCGACAGCTACACGAGGAGGGACACCAGACGGTCCACTCGGGGTCTGGCGGGTCGGAGAGGGTTCGTCAGGAAACCCACGACAGGTACATGCGTCCGGGACACTCCCTTAGGAGAGGGTGTACCTGGTCATAGTTCCGGTCGTTAGTGGAGGTGTAAACCAGCGTAGAATTTCTACCTGAGTTGGTTTTTCCAGTTTTATATTGCACTGACGAGATAAACTGAAGTACAGACAATGTGTGGAGGAGGAATATTTGTTATTGTAAATTTGTTGATCAAAATAACAGCCATATTTACACAAGCCAATATTAAACCTTACAACGACCCACTATTCCACGAACAACAAATCTAGTAAAGATTCTTTACGGAGTTTGAAGCGACAACAGTGTAAGGTCATAGGTTTCGGTGTTTCGGGTGGGCCACCGCTAACGTCGAGAAGGGACGAGGTGGGGAGACCAGGAGTAACCTCCACGTCGAGAAGGGTAGAGTGGGAGACCGGGAGTCTACCTCTACGTCGAGAAAGGGACTGAGGGTGGGAAAGCTCTACCTCTACGACTCAGACGACACACACCTAAGGGACGAGGTGGGAGACCCAGGTGTCCACCTCTACGTCGAGAAGGGACGAGGTGGAGTCCAGGAGTCCAACCACAACGTCGACAAGGGACGAGGAGCGACGATCCACAGGAGTCCACCTTCTACGTCCGACAAGGGACGAGGTGGGAGTCCAGGTGTTCACTTACGTCGAGAAGACGACTTAAGGTCGGGAGTGCACAGGAGATCACACACCACACGCTACGACACCGAAGGGACGACGGTGGAAACCCGAGGTACGTATATTATGTACACTAGCACACCGAACGTCTTTTAATCTTATAAAGCACTATTCAAGACAATGTAAACACACGACATTATTACGTTAATTTTTTTGGAATTTGTACAAGTATGTAAGACCTAAGTAATGTTTAGTTGACTTTATAACGTTCGGAAAATAAAAAACATTTATAACGTATATCATAGACCGTAGGCGAATTCTTTAGCTATCTTGAATATATATTCAACAATATACTGTATCCTTCCTGGAGCATATAACACACTTTATCATATCATAGTGAGCAACGATCCCTTATCTCACATAAATATATTTATATCATATAATATATGATATACTTTAGGTGTCTTTATGAACAAATAGACTGATAAACATAAACTCATGAAACGCCACCAGTAACCAATAGACGTCTTAACCAAATCTGTAAAGTAACTAAAGGTAAGCTATTAAACACATAGTAGTGGAGTAAAAGTGCACCATTTACCTCTGAATTGTAGTGGAGTAGAAGTACACAGTAGAAAAATATGGAAACACTCAAGTGAAGTACAAGTATCTCAAAATTCTACTAAGTACAGTACTTGAGTAAATGTTCTTAGTTACTTCCCACCTCTGTGTATACAGTATATATGCTGTATGACTTCTGTACCACTGCTCACAGAAGTGTAGTTACTAATTACAACATGCCCATTCATACAAGAGTCGTTTAACAACGTATTTAAATTATTGTTGTCAATCGGATGTATAACACATGGCTGTTGACATTGATTAATATAATAACGTGTATTTAACCTAGACAAGATAGCATTAGCAATGCTGGCTTGCTAACTTTATGCAGACTGAAGTTGCTATATACTATATACTATATACTATACTATATACTATATACTATATACTGAAGTATACAGGAATGTAAAAGTTGACGTCAAAACGACGGTTGTAAAAATAGGTTTTATGACTGTAAACGGGAAAATAGAAATATGTAGTGTTGTTACTTACTCTGAATATCTATGATACGCCTCGCCACTGTCAACCAAAGGTGAGGGGGGCGGGTTCGGGGAGAAGCCGTGCAGTGAGTGGCTCTGTCCATTGTGATGCCGTGACGTGATTGGCTCCGTCCATTGTGAACTCGCGTCGTTATTGGTTTAAGTCCAATCTCACAATGGACAGCGAGTATCATGATTGGGTGATAGATTGGAGTTTGACAGACGGTCCTGCGCCAACTAGCGCCACACGCCTCCTTAATAATAATAACTGAACGCTGCTTTACCATGTTTAGTTCTGACTCAGGGAACAGAAAGCTGAACAGTCCCTGAAGACCTGAGAGATCCGGATGGTTCACAATTTAGCAGTAGATCAGAAATGTATTTTGGGCGTAAACCATTCAGTGCTTTATAAACCAGCAGCAGTATTTTTTAAATCTATTCTTTGACACACAGGAAGCCAGTGTAAAGATTTCAGAACAGGAGTGATGTGATCCACTTTCTTAGTGTCAGTGAGGACTCGAGCAGCGGCGTTCTGAATCAGCTGCAGCTTTCTAATAGATTTTTTAGTGAGACCTGTAAAGACACCATTACAGTAGTCTAGTCCAGGGGTTCCCAAACTTTGCCATACCAAGGACCCCCAATATAGCATTATCCTCTGGCG